ATGTCGTGACCGTGATGTTAACGTGTGTGATCGTATGGTGAGGGTGATGTGATCTGTGAACATGTCGTGACCGTGATGTTAACGTGTGTGATCGTGTGGTGAGGGTGATGTGATCTGTGAACATGTCGTTACCGTGATATTAACGTGTTATCCACACTTGTTCACGTCCACTACAGAAGTACGCGGTATTGGTTGACATCGTTGGACTCAAAGAGTGGGTGAAGGCCGAGAGCTTGGCGAGGTGTGTGGGGATGCGTCCCCACCCTACTGACTACAATATACCTCTTTACGTTGGGTGTAATCTTTTCCCATTTCAGACCACGACTCATTACCTAGAGTATCATTACTTTAACGATTGCGCACGAGAAGACACATGAATATGGATACAACAAACATAGAATCTTATTCTCAAGGGAATGACACGTGGTCTGAAATGGGAAAACATTGCGCCCAAATCAAAACGGTCTATTGTTATTTGGTTGTTTGCTTTAGGTCCAAGCTGCATTTTAATTTTCTCTAGTTTTGACTGCAACGTACCTTCGGTGTTACTACTCTTACACATGGGCATGGTCTGTGCACTGTGGAGACTGAAAGGTAAGCGCCTTTGATTATATATATGTAGGAAGGGCGCTTATTATATATAAATCATTGTCATTAATATCAGGTCATTCACACAAACACTTGATGAAATCTTCCCCATTTTTATTTCAAAAAATACCACATTTAAAGACACTAGTTATAACGTAAAAGAACATGCGTAATAGGTAAATTACGAGCCTTGTAACGCATTTATAATTTCAGCATTGTGTCTTTAGTTTCCTAGGAAAATAACTTTGAGTTTAAGGTTTTTTTGTTTTTTTGTTTTTGTTTTTTAGGGATTTATTTAGGGTTTAATGGTCTTATTTTATTACATCCTATTTTTCTTATTTTAAGTGAATTTCTTATGACTTTGACACGAAACGGCACGGCATGGAATTGATGTTTTTTTCAACCAATCACAGCAAGTGACATCCAGTTCGTCCAATGAAATTTCTTGAACATGATACTAGGGCACGTCTGTACATTTGTCACAGTAATATGAAATCTACACTATTTTAATTTTATTTAGCTGTTAATTGCCCAGTTCTTTGGCACGTTTGGTGGCACATTCAACAGCACTGATGAAAGCCCCACGAACCCCGACCTTCTCAAGCTCATGGATGCCTACAATAGTCGAACCGCCAGCAGAACATGTCTCGTCCTTCAACTATTAAAAAAAAAAAAACAGGCAAAAAGGACCTTGTTAGACATGTTTTACAAACAACCATGAAATCATCATCATCATCATCACCACCTGCATTATTATTTCCACCGTTATCTTCATCATCTCCATCATCATCATCACCATCATCCTTAGTATAAAGAATTTGAATTGGTTTTGTCTTACATAAGGAAAATATTTAGCTTAGATTTATATATTTTCTCCTACTAAGATATACTGTCAAGTAATTTCAAAATTATTATTGCTATTATTGTTAACGTTATTAGTTTCCTCCTCTTCCTCCTCCTCATCATGATTACCACGATCATGCTATGATGAGTACAGCATATATACACATTTGGATGGCAGGACACAGTTTAAGTGATGAGGCTAGAAATGTTTTTTTTCTTGGAGCACATTTTAAGTGATGGAGCTAGAAAAATTTTTTTCATACAACACTCAAACTAAGACAAAAATAGGTTTCATTCTCGTTTCATTCTTCCCAGCTCCACCATCCCTGAGATATAAAGTATATACTTTATGCAATATTAATGTAATAGCCTCACCACTCCCCTGAGAAAACACCCTCACTCTTTGCAGAATTACTATAGAGGTTTTACACCATCACGTGCCAGTGCCAACAATACAGCTTGGAATGCCTGTGGTTAGATGGCAGAAGAATAAAATCCCTTTGCTTTCAGGAATTGAATTCTTTTACATGTACTGTATATTATTCCTGCCATCCAAAATGGCTGCCATCACGTGTTGCTGCAAAACCTCTATTTAATGTTTAAAAAGCCTTACTTGTGCTGGGTGTTTCCCAGTTTGATTGACGACAGCTCCAGCACCTTGCACAGTATGAGCAGCAAATGCCATAGCAGAAGGCCTAGGTAGGCCTGCCTTCACAGCTCCATCGGCAAGAGCTTCAGTGACAAGGTAAAGGAATGCAGACCCACTGCCACTGATTGAAGCAACAACATCTATTAGGGACTCCTTTACTTCTTCTACATAGCCTGAAGAAAACATTGAATGGAAGTATTTTAAATAATTATCAACCTACATGCTGATCTAAGTCACAGAACAAACCCTGAAACAACCTCTGGGCTGATCTAAGTCAGGGCATGGCTAACTAACAGAACAAACCCTGAAACAACCTCTGGGCTGATCAAAATCAGGGCATGGCTAACTCACAGAACAAACCCTGAAACAACTTCACATGTAGGCTGGGAATGGCAAACTCACAGAATAAATCCTGCTCTGATAATCTTGTGTGTGAATCAGTATATAGTGCATACCGGTGCTCTAGGGACTTACCAACAGATGACATCAAGCGATGGACTAATGCAGCATCTTCTCTTGTTACATTACTACCGCATGAAAAGGCTGATGCACCCTGTTGTACTGCGCATGGAAGGCTTGGCATGACACGAACCATTCTTCTGACACCAAAACTCTTGTTACAAAGAATGAAAAATTAGTAGATGAATGATTTTAACAACTATTTTACATCAATCATGATGAATGTAGAGCTACCCTAGATATGTCATCAATAAACCGTTATTATTATTATTAATATTATTATCATCATTATCATCACCAGCATCAATCATAATTACTATCATCATCATCATCAATCAATCAATCATCATCATCATCATTACCAATTTTTTCTTATCACTTGGCGTTAAGAAGCACATGTCAGCAACCTGGGTTCGATTCCAGGACTTAGTAACATATACATACTGTATGACTAGAGTTTCTATTTGGTTCTCTCCTGTGCTTCAAGGGTTTTTGTCCTGGTTCTCCAGTTCTCCTCCCTTATCAAAAATCTACTTCTATATTCAAATTCGATGATGGAATTTGGACCACCATTTTGTTAGCCACTGGCTGTTAAGTGTTACCTCATAAAACAAGGACAAGTTTATTTATTTATTACTTTATTCTATTTACTAAATGTTTAAAATATCTATTTTATTTATTTATTTTTAATTTAATAAATTATTTATAAACTTATTAATTAATTAAACACTATACCTCAAATGTTGCAAGTGTTACGCCTGCTGCAATAGACACCACCAGATGGTCCTTGGTGAAATCATTCTGCAACTCTTTCATCACTGTCCTCACAATGTGCGGTTTGACGCCAATAAAAACTATTTCGGAATTCTTGACGACTTCGTGATTTATTTTTGTTGCTCTACAATTCATTTCCTGGAATAACGGACACCTAACAGTTTTAAAATTCCTTTTCAAAGTGAAAGATATAAAGATGAGCTGTAGGATAGGTAGAAAGTGGGGATTTTCAAATTTAGCCAATAGAGCTTTCCCGAATTCGCTTGACTGGTCACTCAACAATGGTTTCAAGTCGAGGTAGAACTTGATGAATAAAAGAATCAAGTTCAGTCTCACCTTTAAACCATTGTTTCATGATCATCCAAGCGAATTCAGGAAAGCTGTATTGTACGATTGCTCGATTTTTCAGACATCTTTTTAAAGGTTTCATCAAGAAGTGCAGATTTTTAACATTTTGATTTTTTATATGCTTTTGTGAATTTTTGATTTTTGGCATTTCCCCCACCAGGACACGTCCCGCCTACTTTAGAGGCTAGGTACATGGGGGATTTAACATGTAACAATTTAACAGTTTTAACAGGAAACAGTTCCCAGGGGACTGGGGAAAAGTGCTATTAAAAGTTCACGCTATGTGAATGTCAAATTTCCCGCCATATCCCAGGATCTGGGGGTTACAATTATTGGTGGCTAAAAACAAAAAAAGCCCAAGCCAAAAACTTTTCATTTAGGAGAGTTTATTCACCCTTACCCATCTCTCTCTTTCTTACTCTAATATAATTATGGTTCTGATCTCTTTTTCCACTGTCAAAGGCTACCTTTTTCCAAGGCATTCACCTCGCGACCCGACCCTCAACGAATTCAAATAAGCCAATAAGCTACAAGAAGTCCATTGTTTTCCCAGAAAAATATACCTTAAATAGTATCTTAATTTATGAAATAAAATAACTGTAAGACTTTGATACTTATATATTTTTCATAATTTCATTTTTTCATAATTTTCCATCGGCTATCAGATTCAAGCTTTACTACCCTAGCTAAGCCAATTATAGAACTTTCTTCCAGGAATGAAATGTTGTCATTATTTTTTGATAATTTCTTTACCTTCCATTTCCCGACGCCTCTGTCACTCAAAGTACTGATAATGATGTTCTCAGGCTTCACTAATTCTGATTTAATAAAGCCTCTAGCCATGGCAAAAGCCATGTTTCCTCCTCCAACAAAACCGATACGAAGCTCTTTTTGGTCCGCCATTTTGAATCAAGAATCAAACGTGGTGATACATGGAGCATTGTGGGTACATAGATCGAGGTAATAAGAGGAAAGGGGAGGGGAGGGTGCGAAACGAGAGCACGTGTTTGAAT